GCCGGCTCGCGTCGTTCACGTCAAAGATCGGGCTCTAAGAGCCATTTCGTTCGCGACCGACACATCACTAGTGTAAAGTGACTCACTCTTTTGGAGTACAGTCAGTATCGGCCTGCACCCTCACTGCAGTCACATCACCGAGGTTACGACCTGACAGCACTGCGTGGTTTCTACCGTAGAAAGACACCACACTGGGAGTGATAGAGGAGATCTCTGGGATCTGACAGTAAGACAAAAAATGATCAGCTTTAATCCACGGCCACCAGCTGATGTTAGAAGCTTCGAACACAAATAAGGTGTCAGAGGAACAATGAGTTTGAGGACTGAGGTTCAGACTTACAGAGAAGTTCTTCCCAGACGGCACATTTTGGCAAACGCTGTCCTGCAGGAGGAAGCAGAGGGAATCAATATGGCAGGTTTACTGTCATTGTCTAAAGAAACTATGTAGGACTGATGAGAATGGAAGTTCTGTCTTATTTACAAGGAAAAAATTTAATCATGATTTTTGTCAAGCAACTGAATTGGTATTTGTGAGTTGTCATAATCACTTAACATATTATTGCATATAATATTGCTGCTTTTGAGAAGCAATAGATATTTGAACATTAGACCAACCCACCCTTAATAATGATTGAAAAATCTCAATATAAAGTAAGTTATATAAACTTAAATATAAGTAATATAAACTTAAAGTGGAAGACTTAATTATATGATAAGATAAGATAAACTTTCTTATTCCCAAAAGTAGATTTAAAAAAGATACATCAAAATAGCCTAAACATGTAGAATGGTATCAGCGAAATAAAATTAAAACAAATATGTTAATGAGGAAAAACCTGAACTAGGTAAACTAAAGGCATGAATTATTACATTGATCTCTGTTTGATCAGCCCAGGAACATCTGTTTATGTTCCATCCACAACCAGCTTTGATGCACTGCTGACACCTGAAGAGAAACAATCACATATTAGTGTTGAAATCATCAAGAAAAAGATAATGTCCAAAAATACAACATACAACAAAGAGACTCCTCAGTAGTAATACATTTTACTTGGTGATGACACATAATGTTGTGTTATTAGTGATCCATCTTCATAATCTTTATAATCTGATTGGACTTACAAGACTGAACTTGGTGGTCCACTGATGTCAGAGCAGTTGATCAACCTCAGCTGTTCTGACAGTCGTGTTGAACCAAGTCTAAATTTCACTGTGACATCCAGACCTGTTAAATAAAAAAATAACATGATCAGTGTCATAGCTTTCAATTGCTAATTTTTAGACATATATGTTTAATGAGTTGCAACAGTTTGTAATAACGAACAGCTCAGATTTGTCAACTAGTAAAGAATATTTCATCTGTCAGAGTCAGCTCTGTAATGTTTCTATTTTGCTTTTTGGGAAGTGTTGCAGATCAGTAAGCATGTCTGACTGCAAAGTATTTCATT